GAGCATCTGGAATTGAAGGGAGGTGAAAAATATAAAAGACATTTCCATTGTTGTAAAAGTCCACTTGCATCTCATCCGTTGATCATCTACCTACCTTACCTCTCTCGATATTCAGGTAAATAAATACTTTGTATGACAGTTGGAGAAAAACTTTAATTTTAATTTTTGTGTAATTTTAATAATGACTCTGCAGGTTGACTTAATAAGAGTGTTAAATAATAATTCTAGTTAATTTTGAACCGTATATCTATGATATAGTATGTTGATATAGTATGTTGCATGATATAAGACATGTTAGTGTGGCGTAGTTTTGATCATGATACCTAATAAAACATACAAAACGGTTGTATCGAGACTATATAAAACAAGTTTATAAATGGCACCACACAGTGTAGAATCATTGCGCTCATCATAATTATGCGTTATTTCACAAATTAAAGTTTTTACAAGTCATCTTTTTTATTACAGGGTGAATGAAATTTAGTCACTTCGTTGTAACAATGTACCTCGAAGACTTTAAGATTTAGTACATTTAGATATGTTAAATAGTATATTTTAATATCACCAAAGTTTAATACTATGTCGTCTCATTGGAAAAGGCATTCTTATTGCGTAATTTGAGATATAATTGTCACTCTTCAAATACCTTTTAAGACATTTGGCCAACAGGATTATTTATTATATTGCTTGCATTTTGAGAATTGTTGTGTGTGTAAACCACAGATTTAAGAGAGTAGGAAGTAGAAATTATAGTAGTAGTAGACTAAAGGTAGAGGTGGGTAAACATAAGCTGAATTACTGTGTTATATGTTGTGTTAGTAAAAATGCCATTATTTTGCCTAGTAGACTGCACTGCCGCAATCAAGTTGAGGTTTAGAATAAGGTAATACAAACTCAAAATTCTGCCCAGCGTTTATGGGTTCTCTCTATTTACAATCACGTGTTATCTTACTAACCTCAGAATTATTTCAATTAATAAAGTACATACTGTGACATTAAACCTGAATAGACATTTTTCGGGAGAAAACTGTTGATTTTGAATATTGCAAGTAGACATCTCCGACATGTGTAAAATCGAAAGCATGTTTTGATGTGTTTCGTTTTGTGTCCGGTGACGCAGAGAGTGACTAAATAGTTCTCTCTTCCTCTTGTGGTAAGTTACGACACAAGCTAGAAGAGACCTTTAGTCTGATTTTTGGGGGTGGGGTGAGGGGTTAGAACCAGACATCTAAATTATTTTGGTATCTGATTAGGTAAAGTGGATGTATTGACAGTTTTAACTGAATTGTTTATTAGTTATTTATTTAACTTAAATTGATCTAAAATAATCAACAACAATAATGACATTTTATATAATTTAATCACCATCTCAATAATTGATGAAATCATACTAAACGAATGAATTATTTTGGGTACAAAATATTTCTTATTTACGGAACAAATCGGAGGAGGCTAAATGACCTAAAGTTCCCCATTTATCTCATATATCTGATGATAAGAAAGGGGGCTTAGATTTCGTAAATAGGTGAATTTGTTGCCATCAAAAGCCTTTTAAAAGAGGCTGACATACAACAAAATGTGTGATCTACAACAATGAAACACAACTTTTAATTTCAGGCGTTGGTTATACACCGATATCTTTATATGTATATAAATAATCAATGATTATGCTGCTATACAGTGACTATTGAGTAACCACAAGTTTATGTTTCCAGTATGCACAAAGGCATTGCATTATTAGTCCTGTCTGCAGTGGTGTGTCTCCAATATGTTGATGCTGTAAGATATCAAGTCGACCGGGATATCGAGGCACAGGTCAGTTTACATTGACTTTGATACTGCAAGCAGACGTCTTATCCTATTTTAAATCTTGTGTTAGTGTTACATGAACCTTGTGTTTGTGTGTGTTTGAAGGTGCAGTTGTGAGATTAACGTGTTTGTCTTCTTACCGTATTTTAAGACAAATTGTTACAATTCATGTCTTATATACTTCATTGATAACTAATTGTACCAGAGAACCAGCACATGTTTATATTATCTTCTTATCTTACTAATATTATAAATGTGAAAGTTTGTGTGTTTGTTTGAAGTTCAATCACGCATTAACTACTGGACGGATTGGGCTGAAATTTGGCATGATGATAGCTTACATTCCCGATTAACATATAGGCATATTCTTATCTCAAAAATACTTTCGGGCTCCGCCCCAGTGGCTCTGTAGTTCCCCATGTTAACCTTATGAGTATTCATATTTAGAGGGAATAAAAGAATTTAGTCAGCTGTTTCAAATAAAAAGGGTTGTTCTATGATATGCAAAAGCATTCAAGTTATCAGATTTACCAACAGGGTACAGCACTATTTTTTTTGTATTTATGAAAACAGCTATAATATAACTTAATTTTTTAGTTGGATACATTTTTGTTTTGAAATAATTTTTTGTACAAGGCAAAGTTGTATTTGGTTTTTTACAGAGGTATTGAATTATTATTACAAATTGTTGTCTTTGTCCACAGTATGTCCCTTCTGCTCCTGAACTGGCCAGTTGGATACTTGAGCTGGCTCAAAGGAACGATCACGCACACAAACGCAACTCTGAGATCATCAACTCCCTCCTCGGCCTACCTAAAGTCCTAAATGATGCTGGGCGGAAGTAAACAATACATCACCGTTAATGTTTTTTTCTTACTTAATTTTTCAAATTACATAACTTATTTTTGAAAAATGTTTCATTGCACTTTCTGGACTAAATGTTATTATGCTTAGTAAAAGAGTCAAGGTTATTAAATAAAAACCCTCTAGTAAAAATTTCCATGGATGATAATAGTACTATTACTGAATAAAGAGGTTGATTTTTTCAATGACTTTGATTTCTTTGCAGCTGAATGATTAACTGTATAATCTCTCAATAGGAATGACAGAATTACGTTATATAGTGTTTGAGCGATTTTTAAAAATCACTGAGAGTAACATTGGTATGCTTAGGTTAAGAGAAGAATTAAAAATTTTTTTTTACTATGTAAGCCCAACAGGGAAAGTATAATAAAATTGAGCACAAATGGAGACAATTGATAATTATTTAAATACAATTATAGATATTTTTTAAAATAACTTCTGAAAAAATAGCATTGCTGTGTATATGTTGGGAGAGAAAGGTGGTACCTATACCAAATACAAGGTGACAGTTAATACTTCTATAGACATACCAGAAACAAAAGAACCCTGGGCCATTTCGAGCCGCGCAGGTTTGAAGGGTACGCCACACCTACCGGCGCGAACCACGTGATCTTTTTGTTTCTGCACTGGTTGTTTTGTTCTTGGGATCTCTATACCAGAGCCACCTGGTGGCTGTACAAACACTAATCAGGCAGAATTGGTGATAATATCCTTCCTGTCAGAAACATCTACAAACATATCCGAACTCAATGAAAATTTAGGCTACATGTACACAGCACTAATTGATGTTAACGTTAATTAAAAAATGTTACTTTATGTATGGTTACACAAAAACTAATGTGTTAAGAACATTTGTATTACTCACAAGATTTGAAATATTACCATACAACCTTGTCACATTTTAGTGCACCTATTGCTCGAATTCGAGCAATTGCAAAGTATTAGGCGTTATATTTCAAAGTGAATAACAGTAACAATTTCCGATGACTTAAAAGAGTCAACTCAAAGATAATCAATCACTCCAATCCAGTTATCGAAACTGAAAACAAACTCATTCTAAAAACGAACGTTCTTTTATGTATCATGTGTTTACTATGAACAGCTGTAATTATTACAGTAATACAAATTATTCGTCTGTTTAGTAAACAAATTACTTTCTTCATAAGAAATACTATAGATAAAACATACTCCCTTAGTAGATTACTCATCCTTATGGAACAGCTGAAGGCAATTTTATTGTTAGTTCATGTACGGTTTATGTAGAGGTCGTGTTTTGTTTACAATTTGTTTCCCGTTATTACAGCCATTTAAAACCTCGTTTAACCAAATAATACGATCTAATCATAAACAATAACTTGTCCCCTAGTTATATAACCAAACAGTAAAGCACAAATCAAGAAATTAACCCTAAAATAATGGAAACAAAGTTTCATCGACACTAGCGCCTTTGTGTCACGTACATGAACTAGACACGAAAAACGTGCTTCAAAATTTACAATGGGATGAGAAGTCTACTTGTGTTGGTTAGTCTATGGAAATACAATGGGATTTTGATGGCCTGTGGGGCAAGGCCCGAGGACTTTTATTACAGGAATTGGTGAAAGGGGGCGCCTAGACAAAAAATACCTACTTAATTTTGACATTGATTGTAAAATCTGCCCATTATTAACGGAGGAGTAGTGTTTTGTAGAAATCGCCTTCTTCACGTATTATATATAAGAATTACAGTAATCTGTAGGCCTACTTCGATTAGTAACAATTATTCTGAAATATCATTTTTCAAGCCTAAAGATGTGCAACAATATAATACAGCTTTCAGTGTCACACCCCATGGAATAGTATTTATTAGCATAGCAAAACTAACATGTTTTTAGTAGTGAATTACAATATTTTACAAAAGCATTATAAAGTGTGAATAGATTAGGATGGCGTATGAGTGGGATGAAGGAATGGCTCCTGTTAACTATGATAAAATATACTTAAGAAGAGCTGTAATAAACGATCTCACTTTGTACCTGGATTAGTGAAGAATGACGTGAAGCCGCTGGAGCTAGTTCTACTCCAGTTCAGTCCAATTGGGACATACTGGATTGAATCCATTTATAAAGCCATACATATACATATATAACATCTTCCTCTTCAAACAAATAAAACTTCCTCTTCACTTTTCAAATTTTTAAATGATATATAAACAACATTCTCTTCTTAAAATAATAAAACTTCTTCTCTAGTTTAATAAATTTGAAATGACAAATAAACATCTTCTGAGATAAATAACAAAATTAAACAAAACTTCTTCTATTTACAACTTGTTTACTTCAGTTTTCTTATTGTTTATATCTTTCAGGGGTTCGGATAGTCCTTCCTGAACGAGTAGTCCTACGTTGAGGGGAAACTATCTCCCTTGGAGTTATGTGTTCTTCTTGGCTACACATTTCATCTTCTGATGGGGTCTTAGTTGGAGAAGGGCTGTTGTGGGGACTGAGAGTGGGTGACTTACTAGTTTGTTGGGGTGTGACTTTGATCCATTCTCTGTTCCGCCTGAACTGACCTGAAGGTGTCTTTACGCTGTAAGACCGGTCTGATAGTTGTTTACTGATTGAACCAAATTCCCATTGATTATACTTGACATTTGGCCTTGATTTTACGATTACACCTTGACCTACTTCCAATTCTGGCAGATTCTTGGACTTTCGGTCGTAATATCGCTTATATTTCTTCTTCCTTTCAATAAGTTTCGACTTCACTCCACTTGGTACTTCGGGTGACAACAAACTCCTAGTTACTGGGATAGTAGTTCTAGTCCTTCTTGACATGATTCTTTGAGCTGGGCTAACACCCACATCCTTAGCAGGCGTATTTCTAATTTCTAAAATCGCCAGCCACAGATCCGCATCATCACGATCAATCCTACGCAAAGTATTTTTGGCAATTTTTACAGTCGCCTCAGCTTTCCCATTGCCTCTTGGATGATAAGGAGATGATGTTTTGTGTTCAAAATCCCAGTCTTTACTAAACTTCAACCAATCTGAACTAACAAAATTCGGTGCATTATCAGTCGTTACGCTTACTGGCACACCCCATCTACTGAAATTCTTTTTGGAAACACTGATCAAAGTTTCTGAGGTCATGTTTGGAAGCTCATCTAATTCCCAAAAGTCAGAGTAGTAATCCACAGTTACCAGGTAGTTTTGTCCTCTAAAATCAAACACATCCATAGCTATGTGTGTCCAAGGCAGGTCTGGAGTGTCAGGAGTTTGCATTGGAAGGTGTTGCTGCTCTGGAGAGTTAAGAAGGCAGGCTGTACACTTCTCAATACACTGCCTGATGTCTTCTGACATACGAGGCCAATATAAAATTTCACGAGCTTTACGCAAAGAAGCTTCAATTCCTTGATGACCAGCATGAATTCTTTGTAACATTTCTGGCCTCATAGCTTTAGGCACAACTAAACGGCTACCTCGAAACACTATTCCATCAAAGACCACAAGTTCATCTCTAAAGCCCCAATATTCTCTTATTGACAAATCTAGGCTACTTTTCAGTTTAGGCCATCCAGAGATGATAACCGATGTAAGTTTCATTAACACTGGATCCTGCAGCGTTATTCGCCTAATCTGGCCCAGTCGTTCACTCGTGACATTTAGATGTTTAGTGGGATCCACCTTTTCCATCCTTTTAAACATGTTCTCTTCTTCAATCATCTTATAAACATGAGAGGTTTCTATGTCTTCTTGATTCCTACTACGATTATCATAAGGTATTGCTGCTCTGGACAATGTATCTGCCAAGGTCATTTCTGATCCTTTTTTATATTCCAACTCGAAGTTGTACTTTTGCAACTTCAACATCATACATTGAAGACGCTTAGGTGCACTAAGCAAAGCTTTTTTGAAGATTGTTACCAGAGGTTGGTGATCTGTCTGGACGGTCACATCTGATTTTCCACTGATATAGTAATGGAACCTGTTACAAGCAAACAAGATTGCTAAACATTCTTTTTCTATCTGTGCATATCTCCGTTCTACCGGGGATAGCGTTCGTGACGCATACGCTACAGGTTGCCCGGATTGGAGAAGCGATGCGCCTAGGCCTATACTACTTGAGTCACACTGTATAGTCAGTGGTTCATGGACATTGAAGTATCTTAATACTGATGCGTTTGCAATGCTTTGTTTAATTTTATCAAAGGATCGATTATGAGTTTCGTCCCAAATCCAAGCTGACTCTTTCTTTGTTAACTGTCGGAGTGGTTCACAGAGGTCCGAAAGTGTGGGAACAAAACGGGCTAAATAATTAACAAAACCCAAAAATCGTTGGACATCTTTCACATTTTCTGGTTTCTTCATTTCAGTGATGGCCTGTACTTTAGACAAATCGGGACGCAATCCTGTGTTCGACAAAACATGTCCCATAAAAGATACTTCTGTCTGCCTAAGCTTCATCTTCTTTCTATTTAACTTTAGATTCTTCTCCCTTGCTCGTAAAAGCAACATCCTCAACTTCCTATCATGATCTCTTGAGGCTTCTTCTCCTGTGTCACCACAACCATAAATCAATATATCATCCGCGATCACTGCAACTCCTTCAAGATCATATAGTACTTCATGTAGTCTACGTTGGAACTCTTCTGGCGCGGGAGCTAGGCCAAATGGCAGGCGTGTCCACCTATATCTTCCATGTGGTGTCCAAAATGTTGTTAGCTTGCTCGACTCTTCATCTAGTTTTACTTGCCAGAACCCATTCTTTGCATCCATCACTGAGAAAACTTTAGCCTTAGATAAGTCTGGTAAAATGTCATCGATCGTTGGAATTTGATAGTGTGATCGCTTAAGAGCAACGTTACGCGGTCGTGGATCAAGACAGATTCGCATCTTGCCGTTACGCATAACGACTACAATATTGCTAATCCATTCAGTAGGAGCATTCTCCTTTACAATAATGCCTTGACATTCTAACTCATCAATCTTTTCTTTCAACTGCTTACGAAGCGGTATGGAAACTTTGCGCGGGGAGTTTTTAACAGGATCCACAGTAGCATCTACTTCTAGGTGAAAAATTCCTGGTAAACAACCAAGACCCGTAAACACATCATCAAATTCATCAATTATATCATTGTCCTGCTGGTTAGTATTATTTGACAGCGAAGTATCAACATCTTCAACTTTGCACAATTGTGCTTTTACCTGCAAAATCTTTAGCTGTTTACAAGTCTCCGCAGAAATAAGGGGTCTTTGATACGCAGGAATGTCGACAATTTGAAAAGTCATACAATACACCTTATCATTAAAATAGCAAACAAGATCAGTCTCACCCACTGGTTTTATAGTGTTGCCACTGTAGCACCTCAAAATAGTACTAGAATCTTTAAGACTAGGCTTGCTGAATTCTGAAATTAATTGCTTTACGAGCGATTTTATCAAAGTCAGATTTATGCATAACATTACACGAAGCACCCGTGTCAAGCTGACACTCAAAGTCACAAAAAACCTGGTCATGATCGAGAGTAGGCCTAGGCCTTGTACTGAAAGTTAGGTTAGTTACCCATTGTTTCTTGTCCGAAGCTGAATTAGATTTACTAGCTAAATTAAGGCTCTCAATTTTGTACAAAGATTCTGAACTACTGTCAGTTTCGTCAACAATGTTAACAGAGTGTTTGTTATCAGCAAACTTATTTTTTCTGGGTGCATTAGGCCATTTATTAGGTCTTGACTCGGAACTGTTACACATTTTTGAAAAATGATTTGGTCTATTACACCTATCACAAGTTTTTCCATAAGCTGGACATTTATCTCTTATCATTTCATGATTGTTCCCACAAAAAAGACAAGTTCTCCTATTTCTAAAACTAGGGAAATGTGTTGGCCTACCTTGGCTCTGATGTTTTCTTTCCTTCATAAAAACCTTGTTTACCTCCTGTTGCTGTTCACATGCACCTTCATTTTTACTGATATGCTTCAACTGGTTATCAGTAGCCTCGTGAGCCCTGCATATATCAATGGCCGCAGACAAGGTTAGTTTGCTATCCGACAGAAGTTTCTTGCGGAGACTTAGATCTGAAACACCTAAAACTAACTTATCTCGAATCATTTCAGATTCTAGAGCTGAATAATCACAAGTCGTGCTTAACTGTCTCAACCGGCATACGTACTGTTCTATCTTCTCATTCGGTAACTGATTAGCTGACCCAAACACATATCGCTCATAAATAACATTTTTTTCCGGTTGAAAATATTTATCAAAGCCTGCTATTATAGTCTTCAATTTATCTTCTGTGCTGTCATCATCGCCTAGATCTAAACTAGTGTAGATTTTAAGGCAGTCCTTGCCTATTACAGACAGAAACGTTGCTACTTTAACTTCTTCATCTTTATCATTCAGCCCAGTGGCTATTGAATAGTTTTCGAATTGAAGTTTGAAAAACTTCCAATTGTCTAGGACATCACCCTTTATTTCCATAGATGATGGTGGAGGCAAATTCATAGTTAAATTTACCAACGTACTAGGCTTTACAAGTTCATCCTCAGAACCAGCCGTCTGAGATCCTTTAGGCATTTTAAAAATTCAAACAAATAAATGTAGCTTAAATGCATAAAAAGAAGTTAAATATTTACCAAATCAACTTGTCCTAAATAAACTAAGCCGATATTTTAGGCTTGGTAGTATTAGACCTACTCTTAGAAAAATCTCACAAACTAGGCATAGGCCTACAATTTTTTAGCCTTTTAAATAGTTTATATTTTGTTCACACTTGTAGGCTAGTAAATTAGGCATAGAACTGTATATTAATTTCATAGCAATGCATTTTCAACATAAGTTTAACTAATTTCAAACATCAAAGTAGAGTTGGCCTAGGCTTACTTCTTTCCTGTCAAAACTTGAACTTTTCTTGCACTCTCAAACATGAAAACTTCCATGACCTACTTTCAATTTTATGCCAACTGATTGGGCCTAGCCTACTATAAAAAGATCTAAAGTGCATATAAAAATTGAAAGTTTGTAAAAGAAAAATCCAACAGAGCTTTTAGTGGTAATTTACAATTAATGAGCTCTAGAAACAAAATTGAGATTTTCTGAGTCTAGCGTTCCGACACGTTTTGTGTTAAAACTTACTACCTTGCCGTGTATTTCAACCACGAAAAACAGACTTTTTAAAACTCGCACAGATTAAAAGAAACTTCACTTTTTCATCTATTATCATATATTCTTCAAGAAATCAATAATGGTTGGGTTTTATCACCGCTGCCACCATGTTAACTATGATAAAATATACTTAAGAAGAGCTGTAATAAACGATCTCACTTTGTACCTGGATTAGTGAAGAATGACGTGAAGCCGCTGGAGCTAGTTCTACTCCAGTTCAGTCCAATTGGGACATACTGGATTGAATCCATTTATAAAGCCATACATATACATATATAACAGCTCCCAACAACACGGAGAGACAAGAGTCCCATTACTTGGTGTGATAGTGGTATTTATATTAAATCAATACAACGGTTGATCCATAAAGCCACTGTGACTTGCATCCAAATTTCCCGACAAAATGTATGTCACTACTTTCAGTCTGAGATATTGCTCAGTGGTTGTAATGTTCGCCTAGTAATTGAAGGTTGGCGGTTTGATCCTGAGAAAAGTGTGTAGCGAATCTGAACCCAGCTATCCTTAATTATTGTGATTTTAATAAATGGTCCTAGCTAATGAAACAGCTTTCCTTAGTAAGTGTGGTGAGTGCTTCAATACTGTTGAAAACCAGCTGAAAGTATAACTTTGGTTTTGTTTAAATGAGTTGCTATGGTTACCTAACAGTTCATTCCTGGTTTTAATTCATACACTTATGTTTTTGTCATGCTCATTAAATTCTATTTTCTATCAGTTTCTTGAATAATTTTATCATAAAAGTAACAAAAATAGTTAAAGAAGAACCTACTTCTTCAGTGGTGACCCCGACGTGATCATTTTTTTACCAAAATTTAGCAAAATTGCAATGTCTACTACTCAAGAAGGTAACTCCCTAGAACGAATTACTGTGAAGATTCCACAATTTTGGCCAGCAAATCCTGAGCTGTGGTTTGCGCAGGTCGAGACCCAATTCTCCTTGGCTCGGATCACATCTGATGAAACAAAATTCTTTTATGTTTGTGGAAATCTTGATGCTAAATACGCTGCTGAAGTGAGAGACATCCTCACAAGACCACCAACCGAGGGAAAATACGAAAAACTGAAAACAGAATTGATACAACGCCTAAGCTCTTCACAGGAACAGAAGACCAGACGTCTCCTGGAACATGAAGAAATGGGAGATCGAAAGCCCTCGCAGTTCCTCAGACATCTTCGTGCTTTGGCTGGTACCGTTGTACCTGACACTGTGCTGAAAACTCTGTGGTTGAGTCGTCTGCCTTCATCAACTCAAGCCATTTTAGCAACACAAAAGTCGTCTGAGCTTGATGCACTAGCCGAGTTGGCTGACGCCGTGCTTGAAATTAGCCCGCATCATCAAGTTACAGAAGCAGCTGTCCCTACTAACAGTCCCAACTCTATGGAAGTAATGATGGAGCGACTGACGATCCTGATGACATCTAAAATGGGCGAAATCGTAAGCACTCTTCAGCACGACATTTCAACTATCAAAGAAGATCTGCGGAGTAATCAAAGTCGTCGTCCAACATGGAGTTCAAGTCCGGTTCGGCGATCAAGATCACGCTCCAAGAGCACGACAAGAGACGATGTTTGCTGGTACCACAAGCGATTCGGTAATGCAGCTACTAAGTGCACCAGGCCTTGCAGTTTCCAAGCCAACAACTCGGGAAACGATCTCGGGAGTCTCTAATGGCGGCCAGCGACTCCTCCGATCTACAGACATCTCGCCGCCTCTTCGTCACAGACAAGGTAACAAAACAACAGTTCCTCATTGACACTGGAGCAGATGTTTGCGTCTATCCACGAAAAATGCTTTCAGGTAAAATACTAAAATCTGACTATACACTATACGCAGCAAACAACACCGAAATTGCCACTTACGGGTTGCATACCTTATCTTTGGACCTAGGCCTACGCCGAGCATTTGTGTGGCGTTTTATCATAGCTGATGTTGCCAAACCGATCATTGGAGTTGACTTTCTTCATCATTATGATTTATTAGTGGATGTTCGACGTCAGTGTTTGATTGATCAGGTAACCTCTCTCGTTTCCACTGGTCGCGCAACATGCTCCAATTTGGTAAGTGGTATTAAAGCAATAAATGCAAACCAACCAAATGTCTACATGCAGCTCCTCCAATCATATGCGTCCCTTATTCGACCGGCAGGTAAACCTTCTGTCCCTGTCAAACACCAAACAGAACACCATATCCAGACAACCCCAGGACCACCAGTCTTTAGCAAACCCCGTCGTCTAGCCCCGGACAAGTTAAAGTTAGCCAAAAAAGAATTTGAGGGTATGGTCCAGTTAGGTATAGCTAGACCTTCTTCTAGCAGCTGGTCATCCCCTCTTCATATGGTTCCCAAAAAAGGAGACGAATGGAGACCATGTGGAGACTACAGAGCCCTAAATGCCAGAACCATTCCTGATCGCTACCCTATTCCTCACATTCAGGACTTTTCTCTAAATTTGCATGGTAAAAAAGTTTTCTCTACTATAGATCTTGTTCGTGCTTACCATCAGATCCCTGTAGCTCCTGATGACGTTCATAAGACTGCTATAACAACACCTTTTGGTCTTTTCGAATTTCCTTTCATGTCTTTTGGACTTTGCAATGCTGCCCAAACCTTTCAACGTTTCATTGATGGTGTACTCAGTGGCCTAGACTTCTGTTACCCTTACATTGATGACATTCTCGTAGCTTCAGAATCCGAAGAACAACACCTCATTCACTTACGACAATTGTTTGACCGCCTATCCTCTTTCGGAGTCTTTGTCAACCCAAGTAAGTGCAACCTAGGAGTTCCCATGGTTAGTTTTCTCGGATATCAAGTTTCCGGAGAAGGGATAAAACCCTTACCTGAAAAAGTGAAAGCTCTTGACTGTTACCCCAAACCAAAGACTGCAAAGGAATTAAGAAGATTCACTGGTATGCTAAACTTTTATCGTAGATTCCTACCCCATTCAGCGTCCCAGCAGAGCACACTAAATGACCTTCTGAAAGCCAATCTAAAAGGTAATATGCCTATTAATTGGACTACAGAAAGTGAACAAGCTTTTGAAACTTGTAAAAAAAGCCTCAGTGAAGCCGTTATGTTGTCTCACCCTGCACCGAATGCCTCACTTGCAATCTTCTGCGATTCATCAGACTATGCTGTAGGAAGTGTATTGCAACAAAAGGTAGGACAAAACTGGCAACCACTATCTTTCTTTTCCAAAAAGTTAAGTCTAACTCAACAGAAATACAGTACTTATGACAGAGAACTAACAGCAATTTATCTTGCCATTAAGTATTTCAAACATATGCTAGAAGGAAGACAATTCATAATTTTTACAGATCACAAGCCTCTGACCTTTGCTTTCCGTCAAAAACCTGATAAGTGTTCTCCAAGACAGTTCCGTCACTTGGAATATATTGGACAGTTCTCAACTGACATTCGCCACGTTTCTGGACAAGAAAACGCAGTTGCAGATACCTTCTCTAGGATAGAAGAAGCCACTGCCTCCTTAAACTTCCAGGCTTTGGCAGAGTCTCAAGCTCAGGATGAAGAACTACAACACTATTTAGAAACAGAATCCAACCTAAAGCTCAAGCAAGTGCTGCTACCAGGAACGGAAATCTCACTTTATTGTGATGTATCTACTTCAAACCCCCGTCCTTTTGTCACAAAACAATTTCGAAAAAATGTTTTTTACAGCTTGCACAACCTGTCTCATCCCGGGATAAAGGCATCCACAAAACTGGTTAGCCAACGTTTTGTTTGGCCTTCAATGAAATCGGACTGTCGTTCTATGGCTCGCTCCTGCCTCTCCTGCCAGAAGTCAAAGATAACACGTCACAGTTCAACCCCAGTTGGTACGTTTGTTCCACCATCTTCTAGATTCGAACACATCCATATTGATCTAGTTGGCCCATTACCTGTTTCGGAAGGTTACAGGTATTGTTTGACTTGTGTTGACAGATTTACACGTTGGCCTGAAGCAGTTCCACTTGAGAACATAGAAGCTGAAACTGTAGCTCGTGCATTATTCACCAACTGGATTTCAAGGTTTGGAACGCCACTGCGCATAACCACAGATCAAGGTCGACAATTTGAATCATCTCTTTTCCAGCAGTTAACACAGTTAACTGGATCAACACGTCTGCGAACGACTGCCTATCACCCTGCTGCCAATGGACTCGTTGAACGCCTTCATCGACAACTCAAGGCAGCCATAAGGTGTCACACAACAGATCGTTGGACCGAAGTATTGCCAGTGATACTGATGGGGATCAGAGCTGCGTGGCGCGAAGATATGCAAGCTTCCTCTGCAGAACTCGTTTACGGTCAACCTCTACGACTTCCTGGAGAGTTTATGACGCCCAGCCAAGATGGACATCAATTGGATCCACAAAACTTCGTAAAGAGCTTACGTCAGCACTTCAACAACCTGCGTCCAGTCAGTGGAACTAGACATGGTGCGAAGACGCCATTCGTTTTTAAGGACCTCGCTACATGCACACATGTCTTTGTGCGGACTGACATCCCCAAGGGAGCTCTCGAACCCCCATACTCTGGCCCTTACCCTATTATCAGCAGAACCACCAAGACTGCCGTTGTGGTGATTAAAGGCTGTAATGTGACGGTATCCATGGATCGACTCAAACCGGCATACTTTTGGTCCGAATATAAGAACGATGGATATGCACCAAATAGGACAGAAAGCAACAAATCAAGCATGGATGATCCTGATGAGCATGGATTAAAACCTGCGATTAAGACAAAATCTGGAAGACATGTACGCTTTCCTGTACGATTTCAAGTATCATGATTTACTTAAATTAAATCATTAGCAGGGGGGTACTGTGGTGAGTGCTTCAATACTGTTGAAAACCAGCTGAAAGTATAACTTTGGTTTTGTTTAAATGAGTTGCTATGGTTACCTAACAGTTCATTCCTGGTTTTAATTCATACACTTATGTTTTTGTCATGCTCATTAAATTCTATTTTCTATCAGTTTCTTGAATAATTTTATCATAAAAGTAACAAAAATAGTTAAAGAAGAACCTACTTCTTCAGTAAGTAACAAAGCTACACAAGGCATCTTACTTCTTTCTACACTCATCCTTCACTCGTATTTGAGATGATGATAAAAATAATAAAACAATAACATTCTCAAGAGTGGTCATCTTTACCCAAGTAGATTGTGGATCGGAGTACTGTGCCCTCTATTCCACACAGTGAGTACAGTTTCATGCTGTATTTCTGACGTTTGTGCTGGATATATAGGCAGAACTACAAACTTCCACACCATAAACCCACTCTTCATTTACTGACCAGTATTTTCCTTGATTTTGTAATGTAAGTTGTCAGACTTTTGTCATTATCACAAAAGTGGAGGCATCTTAAAAATAATAAATCTGTCACGAGGCATTTGCTAAAGAAGCGTTGAGATAGAATAAACAATTGGGTTTTAATTCATTGTCATTGAACCAAATGTGCAGCAGCAAACAAATAAAGGTCTTGAGTTCAGGAACAGTAAGAGGTTTCTACTTATTTATTATTTTGATTCAACTCCATAAAAAATCCCCCTTCCACACTTATAAGTACATCTTTTACAATGCTATCTGGCACAATGTCATTGTGAATCAGAAGAAAAAAACCATCAAGAGACTTACTGTTAGCTAAAAATATCCATAAGTAATTTTTTGGGATGAACTGTGAAGAAGCAGAAGGCGATTATGATGTTATTATTACCATGAAATGCCTAAATACAGTCATACTAAACACAATGAATTTAACTGTTATACAGGGTGTTTATTAAAAAACTTTTACAACTTCAAACAATCATAAAACCTTTAACTTTCCACTTAAAGCTACAAAATAACAATTAAAGTTTAAAAAATCATTTCAAATTTTGGTACAGGAGTCAAACTAACTTCAACGTGTTTTCCATTATTTGCAAGCAAATAATCAAGTCTAAAATCCAGTTCATAAAAAAACACAAAGTAGCACAAAGGGCTAGACTATAACTATGTAGATGATGATGAACTATCTGAAGCCATAAAACAAAACACGGATCTGATCAAAATGAGTCTTGAGGAACAAAAGATTTCTATCAGAAGAATAGAATGTCTAGAATAAAATTTCCTAGAATATAATTTCCCAGTTGAACCACATGGCAAAAGGTATAGACTATGACAGGGTGGTCTGAAATCAAAACTACAGAGATATTAACAAAAGGTATGTACAGTACTTTATATGTTAGGTTTGCAATGCCCAAGTAGATCATGCTGCACAAAGAGCTAGACTATGGCCTCCCCCGGCTGATATACTGAATGCTGGATGCGGAAGACAGATCTTTTGAGGGTTGACAACATTATCTATTGTTCCTGTGCCACAGTTCCCATGTTCATTCCACCCCCAACTCCAAACTTCACCATTTTCTGCAACACAAATGCAATAATCTGTATGATAAATAGTAAAGGCAAGAATATAGAATGGGATGTCTATTGCCTACTTCAGTTGGATATATTTGAGCATAACTGCAATACTCACCAAGCAATGCAAGGTTGTGCTCAGATCCAAGTTCCAGCTGTTTGACACCTTGTAGGCTGATCAGCTGATTGACATCAGCCACCTGGTCTTGACCACAGCTGTGTCCCAGCTGATTATAGCAATTCCTGCCCCAACTCCTCACTCTACCTCCTGGCAGAAACAACATGCTTTAGGGACAAGACACAGAGCCATAATAAGGAATCAGTTAATGGTATAACGGATATGGGAAGCTGCACTAGAAAAACTACTCTGTATCCATCTTTAACTGTTGGTTCAAAAGATTTATGATTGCGACAACTAAAAAATGTTAACCCTTTGAGTGCCTTGAGCGGGTAAAACAATGTTATTTGAGGTTTGCCAGGCCTAGGTTGCAAGTTAACTTTTAATCCTAACCTGAGACCATTGCAGAATGAGTCCACCCAGCTCTGATGACTACATCAGCGTCGTCTGCAGTCGTAATGAGTTGAGGAGTGGGGATGAGCGAAGTGCCTTCCCCTAGCTGTCCCCTCCGGTTGTCCCCCCACCCCAACAGTCTTCCGTCTGACGTCAGAGCCAAAGTGTGATGTTGTCCACACGCTACTTGTACCACTCCTTCCAATGAGGCCACTACATACAAATTTTAAAATATACATGTAATATATTCACCTTATAGATTTAAAAACTATCCAGGTTTAGCTATAAAGTTTCTAAATTGAAATATTACCTTAGTCAACCAGCTCCTGTAGTCTAACAAATGTTACGGCCATTTCAGCATCACTGTGCCATCATCAGACAGACGTTGCGCAATAAGGCGTCGTAATTATAGCACAAAAACGTGAATATCACTCGAAACACACACATAGTCAAAACGGGTTTAAAAAAAAAACAGACCTGTTGAGGTACGTATATTTCCACACTCGAGCAAGTAGCTGACTCATAAAGTACTTATGAAGTATAAAGTTTCTAGATCCACCTCTTCAACATCTTTACTCTAGCTCCAAAATAATTTGAGATTCACTTGGTAGGATTAGACTACATTGCAACTTTGAAACCACACAGAGCAGATTCCTAGGAGAATTTTAAAAATCCATATAGACATTGGCACTCGCTGATATGGTATTTTTCACAATGCAAAATTTGAAAAGGATGGCTTTAATCGTCTAGGAGGAGTTTGCATATAAGAAAATGAATAAGAGTCAAAGTATAAGAATGCTCGCTCTTGCTCAATCAATATGAAACTGCAGAGGATACGTCGTTGTTGTATCAGTGGCTATTGTAGGCCTACCTGTTGCAGTTAAGAACAATTTACTTGTCAGAGTTAGATTTGAATTTTGTAACTCTCCGTTGAATCTCGAAACTGAAATTTTTCTTAGCCTAAGTTTTAGTGATTTTGAGATGTATGAATCAATTTTGACACATCACTTGATCAAATGTCACGTTATTGCCAAGTTGTTAGTCATTTGTCATATTGTTGTGTCGCTAGGGAAAAAAGACAGACAGAAAGCAAGTTTCCTAGGTAGGTAATTATAGGTAGGCTAAGTAATAATTAGGTAGTTATAAGCTGGTGAAAGAGAGAGAATATGATCAATACCAGTTCAGGACATGGAATGTGTTTAGCGATCAAAGGAAGAGTAGGATACAAATGTGGTAGTGTCTACTGTAGCCAACTAAAATACACCTTAATAGATGTAGCAATTAGCGAATGATTAAAAACGCATAATAAGCAGGCCTATTCAAAGCACATAAATCAAATCCTAACCTCTTTCCCAAGAGTCACAATCTTTGGTCGGTACCTTGCTGTCTTCTCCTAGGATGCCAAGTTGTCCTCTCTTCCCCGTTCCACAGACAAGTACGTGGCCGGCTTGTGTGACCAAGGCTGCATGTCGTAGTCCGGCTGATACCTGGGCTACATTCTGCATGGGTAAAACGACTGGGTGTGAAGTAGTGAGCACCTAGAACAGGAAAACCCTTAAGTCACAGAGAACGGGATGATTTTACAAATATTTACAAATATTTAACAAATATTTACTGACTTGGTTGAAATGAAATATTTACTATTTGAATTTGGGCAAGGCCCCACTAGAAAAACAGGCCATGCTGCAACGCAACACTACGTCACAGTGGTGGATAGTTGTACTAAACTCTTACCATTAAAATCTTACAAACAGCCAGCTTGTTTATTTACCTAAAACATATGGGAATGGTGATGGCACTGAATTTATCAATGAAATCTATCCACTAGTGTGACGTCATGGGTCCTGCAGCATGGCCTGTTTTTTCTAGTGGGGCCTTGATTTGGGTTGGCGTAAATATTACAATGTAAAAAAGCGGGAGCCTGGATAATTTGATATAGCCCTACTAAAAAAAAAACTGAACACTGTTTTACAATTTGCAAACTATGGAATCATAGGAAAGTCATAGAACACCACCAAGGAGAAGAAATAGAAATAATGTTTTGTTTTAGAATTTATAATCGTTATTATAGACAACCTAATGTGACTATGAGTAAGCAGGCTATTTGCAGAAAACATTGAAAAAAACAAGATCAGCTTTTGAAAAATGATAAGATATTAACAAGAAATGTTGATTATATCGATCTGTTGTACATCTTGAGTATTTCCATAATCTTGGAGTCAAATCTTAAATTATGACTGTTATTCGTTTTAAAATAACACCTGTAATACTTAGCAATTGCTCGAATTCGAGCAACAGATACACTATTTAAAGTAAATTTACAAAGGAAGTGTATAATAAATCTTGAGTGTATAATAAATGTTTTGAAATAAAAACTAAGCAGAAGTTTTACATTTTATCATGCATCGTTAATTACTTAGTCGATGTGGTTATTTTATGTTAAACATTAACCCTTTGAGTGCCAACGTCCGGGGAACCGGACGTTTTTAAAACGAGCCAAAAGTGCCAACGTCCGGCCGACCGGACGTTTTTAGAACGAGCCAAAAGTGCCAACGTCCGGCTGACCGGACGTTTCGTAATGATCGAACAGCTGTCATAACAACCGAATAAATACTCGGATTCTTTTAACCCATATATTAACATTGAGTCGAAAGTTGCTAGATGCGATACATCGATTTTCGTTGGTCGAAATATCGAAAATTCGATTTTTACGAAATTTTAACCTAAAAATCGCCAGATCGCGCTCGGCATTTTTAGCGCGACCTTCGGGAAAAATCATCGGCATTTTTTGAGCGTTACTTTTATTTCTCGCCTGGCACTCTAAGGGTTAAAAATACACAAATAAGAAAAGTTTCACAGTAAAATAATTTATTTCAACATTCTATAACGTACCGGTAACTAAAAAGTTTTAATTATTATAGGTAACCTTATAACTGGTTTTAAAGGCCTGGTACATTGCAGAATTGACTGGCAAATAAGTCATCGAAATGTTAATATTGCGTACCGGCTTAGTGATAAATCACGATCAGCTGTATTGAAGTAAACAAAAATCACCAGTAAATGGCATTTAATGTTATTCTTATGGAAAACATTTTACGTTATATCTAATTTTCAGTTAAAATTTGAGGAATTTCACTATTATTCCCGCCCTCACGGGATCAAGACCTTTAATTTGACCCTTCTCCCGTTGTTCTACCACTTCTAAAGCGCCCACAATTTTGACACAAAGAATCGCCTTACGTAATTAAAATATAGATTATTCTACTAACGCATACAGTAAGATAAAAAATCTAGTTTTAGTTCGAATTTGAACAATTAGCCACTAACCCATTGATGACTTGTGTGTAGCTCAACCCTGCAGTTCGCCACGAGTAGCCTAAGTTGTACTGCTAACATTGCTAACCCACTGGCCCTAAACTAGAATGTCAAATCCAACCTCTGATTGTAGTGTCGTCAAGTGCTTACTGGTAAACAACCCATTCGACCGACAGTGACATGGTAATTCAGTTGGCTAAGGGGTTACACTAAGGAGTGTAGATTTAAGGTCTTTCTACACGAGCGAGCCTAGACATATGTGCGATCCATTTTGAGTTTGCTAATGTTTAGCTTAGCTGGTGTGGAGGGATCGCTCTCAATGAACCGTATCAGGCTTGGGTAAAATCTAACGGCATTATTGAGTTTAGTACGGATAACACTCAACGAGCTTGTTTTGCTTCTTTTTATACTATTATAGAAGAGGAGGATGCAGATTTATCTTTTTTGGCTTTTATTTTGGTTGATAAAGGACATATCGTATTGAAATACATTGGCCTATAAATGACAAATTACATAAATGGATATAACATAAATGTACCTAAGTGGACGTTAGGTGGTAACAAGACCAGGGTTTGGACCGTTCCCTTTCAAAGCCAAACAATGCCACTGGCGTAAAAACAAAAACAAAATTATCGACACAGAAATAACAGAAATTCTGTTGTCAATGGGGTTGAAGTGATTGAATATAAATTCTTTATGGATAGACTTTTAAGGTCACATAATCTGGATTTGTGGTCTTGGGGAGACAAACATTATCTATTCACTAACAGGTTTGGCCTCAATGTAACATCATCATTTTTTAACAGAGGGCCAGGGTTACAAGTGACCATGAGATTGCATCGCAGCTGGAACAGCTTGTTGTGCACAGAACATCATCTTAATGTGACTTGACTTCCGTACAGTTGACGAATTGAATCAATTAAACTAAACCATTTAAACTGAATAATCCTAATTTACAATCCTTTAACATACTTGTATCAATTGAATCCAACTTATTTTTTAAAACCAATCATAACATAACTATCTTTTAAAATAGGCTAAATAAATATAAATTTTTACCTTGCTTTTTGAAATGCCCAGTTGACCAGCTTTATTTGACCCCAACACTATGAGCTGTCCATTTACTGTAAAATAACTCGACTCCCACCCACAAGTGACATCAGTTACCCTCATTTCTCCGAGGGACCTCATTTTGGACAGAACAACTGTGTTGTTTGCACAATCCGCCAACTGTCCGTGACTGTTGGACCCAGCTCCAAAAACATTGCCCCCAGAGTCTTGGGCAATAGTATGCCCACCACCGGCTTCAATTTTTACAATGTCATCAAATCCATCAGGTATCTTCGCTTCAGTTGGGTACAAACACTGCTCACTTTGAATGCCATGACCCAACTGCCCATACGAATTTGCACCCTGAAATGTAAAAGAAGATTAATTGTTATAGTTTATGGTTCACTGTGGTAGTCTTCAAAGTACCGGTAAACATAATAAATTTAAATGTTTAGTACCGGTACTTATATTTAAGTCTGTCCCTAATTAATACAAAATATATAATACATTTAAAATGCCTCCGTCACAGCAAAGCGGCAGATTAAGCGAATTTTCATTTTACTAATTGGATTTTCACTAAAAAATGTTGTATTTTATTCCATATTCAAATACTGTAACATTTCAGGCCTAAGTTAGTTTAAGGAGTTAGGCTACTCAGGTGTGCTGCTACAGGGAATTTAATTTTGATTTTTTGTGTTTTTTTTTTGTTGTGAAATGTTTAGTATGAAACTAATAAATGTTCAGAATGCAACCAACAGATGCCCTTAACAGTTTAAGAATAACCAGAACGGAAATTATTAATTTACAGTTTTTTGTTCTCCATAACTAAGTTGTAGTAAAAACTGATTCATAGATTTTACGTAGATTTTAGGATTCATAGATTTTAGGACTCTTATTTAAGTCACTCATGCTCCACAAAATTAACTTATGTAGCCTAGAAAGGTATTGCAAAATTTTTTGTTTCAAAATTTATAGCGTAAAAATGGGAAAAACCAATTTTAACCTAATAAACCTCTCAATAGACCACTGTTCCCATATTGTATGATCATGCAGGTTCGTGAACTTGTTCGAAAAGTAGGCTAAACTTGTTTGAAAAATGCAGGATTAAGTTAGGCCTTATTACTTGTTCTTTCTAAATTTTGGGAAGGGTAAGTTACAGTTCCACAGAGAACCTACAACGTATTATCGGATCAAATTTTAATTCAATATAAGTTAGCAAAACATCGATCAAAATATTTCAACACTCAATGTCAATAGCCTATTGGTTCTTTGTTATAGCATAGGGTCTATTTCTGACTTATTAATGAATTAGAATGAAAGAAAAGGTTCACAAATATATGCAGGATAATATGAAGTAGGCCTATCGACTTTCAAATTTGACAACACGTACAGATACCGTATACTTAGGCCTACCTATGTACTCCAAGAAAAGTGAAATGAATCGGTGATGTGATTAAGTTAAAGCCTAGGCCAAACCATCTAATATAATTTACGACTCTTTATTGGGCACTCAACATATTTTAGAGATATATAACTTATATAGTAAAAAATCTGTATATTATTAACTTATATTCTTGCAACTGGGCTACTTTATTTTTTCAACTAGGCTACCTACACTAAGCCTACATCACAAATTAATTATTTACCCATGAGAAAAGCTTCATGACGGATCAACTTCTCCTAAAATTAAAGTTGCCAACTATTTGAATTTTTCTTTAAAGATAACTTAAACATTTAGGTGTTAAAAAATAAGTTTTAATTGGAAAATAATTCTGGAAATCGTAATTTCGTAAAACATACAGGTTATGTTATAGTTTAGTTAGTTTGAGTTTGTTTACTTCAGCTTCAGCCCTGATTGGATTGGATTGAGTGGTTATGGTTGTTCTGACTTTTTCTTAAGCTAGTATTGTTACTATCATTACCATGAAGCTGGTTCTTACCTCAGTAATAATTGATTTTTAAAATTACATTTTCATTATAATCACGTGGGCATGCAAAAATCAATTGACTAACGTCCATATTACTGATAGCTTGGTTTACTTATTTTAGTATTCGTATCCTTGTTGAAGGATCGGCTGTTAAATTACAATTCACATTAGGTTAGTCAGCTCAGCTTCCACTGAATATTTGAAATTGAACTCTAAAAGTAAATCAAACAAAAGGGAAAGGGGGAAATTACCTTTTAGTAAAAATTCGCATCCGCCCCAGGTCATAAACCTTAAAATAACATATCAATCGTAACAATTGGTTAAGTAGAACGGCTGGTACAGGGATATTACAGAGAAACCCCTTATTGTACTAAGTACATAAATAGATAAGCTCAAAGTCACTATAAGAACCAAACAGTGAATTATTTTATAGCAGCAATATAAAAAAAAAATACTGATGATTTATAATAAAATAAAACAACTCCTCCCTCTTAACAATTTTAAACTACATAATTTCCTTCCCGTTCTCTGTTTTCCTCTTTCAAAACCACCATAAAACAACCAAATGAGTACAAACATAAATTAAATTAGGCTAAAATATGTCTATTGTAAATTATAGCCTAGTTTAGGTCACCGGTATATCAAATATCATAGTAAAAAAATCCCAAGAATAATTTGATAGCAGGGCTCATTAAACTGCAAATTGGCTTTTCTTATTGTTTTTCATTCTTGCTAGATCAATATCTATAGGAGCAGAGGAATCACAATGCAGTTACAGGTATTTTAACCTTTTTACAATACAATATTTACAGTTTCCAGCCATCTAATTTTCAAGATCGTTCTCAAACATTTTTGTTTATGCATACTAGCAATTTGTTATACATTTTATTACTAATTTTTTAAATGTTTAACAGCCTTACAATTCGTACACTTTCGGCATTTGAATTTAAATTCTCAATTTGCTTTTTACTAAAACTTGATCGCTAGATTATGTTAAGTACACTGAAGGCACAAATGACTCTGTTTGTTCTTTTATTCTACATCATTTCCAGTTCCTCGATTGTTATCTATGATGCTGAGGTACAAGATATAGAGCCTACTCGGTACAGTACAATGCGTTTTAATTAATTATTTTTTACCATATCGGATTAGCTAATTTATGCTAAATACTGTACAAGCCTCCAAATTAATTAACATACCCCCAACTACTGTTGTTACAATTGTAAGAAATACACTATTACCTTTAATACACTGACTTGTTAGTTATTTTACAATAAATTCATAGCTTGTGATTACTAATTACTTAAGTTAAATCCTGACCAATTACACATCACCTTGTTGCAGTGTTGGGTGTTCACTGCTAGTTATGACCTATTAATTAATTCCTGGTTCACCCAGCGGATCCATCTACACATCCGGCTGCCCAGTGGTTTTACTCTTCATGAATTTCACATTGTGAACTCGTGATTCATACATGGTGCAATTTGGACAGTAATTTTACTTCATGCTCTTATTGTTTCAAGTCAAGAGTTAGTGAGTTTTCCGCTGTAATATTAGCAAAATGATCTAAAAATTTCAGTAGATGACATTACTCTACTTCTACTGTTCTTCAGAAATTTAAATGGAACAGTTCTCTAGTTCTACTCAATATTCTGGACACACATCAGTATTTTGGTTGTAATTGTCTGTTCTGTTAGTCAATTGGTTAGTGCTTCAAATGTGAACCTGACACAGGATTTGGAACTATAGTAAACTAGCTGGCCCGACAGACGTCGTCCTGTCCTAATGTGGTTTTATGTCAAATGCTCGTTCATTTTCAAGATGAGCTCGTTCGTATGGCTCAATCACGTCCTGGTTGAAGTTCGTTCGCTACGCTCACTCACCTTTAGGTTAGAGCTCGTTCGCTACGCTAACTCGCCTCCAGGTTGAAGTTCGTTCGCTACGCTCACTCACCTTTTGGTTGCAACTTAGCTGTTGTCATAAATTTAAAAAAATAATAGTGCTGCACCCTGTTGGTAAACCTATTAATTTTTTAATTATATTTAACATCACAGAATCAAATTGTTTAGTTGAGCCAGCTGTTAAGATTCTTTAATTCCATTTAAATCTGAGTACTCATAAGGTTATCATGGGAAACTCCAGAGCCACTGGGGCGGAGCCCTTTTGACGGATCTGCATCAAACTTCACACAAACCATCCTTGAATAATGCTTAATAATGCCTGAAAGTTTCATTACAATCTGTCGAGCGGTTTCGGAGTCTATAAAGGACAAACAAAAAAACAAACAAACATACATACATTGGATTTTATATATATAGATGTTTGAAACTCTTGATCATTGGGTTTACCATAAATGGTCCTGGCCAAACAAACAGTTGATCTCAGTCAGTGTAACTGGGTTACACAGATAATACCACTCCTTGCATTTATTCAGGTTAAAATATACATCTAATGTGTGGGTTGGTGACTTAATGAACTCTGGAGGGGCAGGATAAACACCAACGAATAACCAATTTGGCTCTTTAATACAAGATAGTACACTAATCCCGGTACTATCTTCCTATAAATTTCTATAGAAATTCACAAGGAACGAATAAATACCAGTGTGTCAATGAGTTGGAGCATTAACTACAGAGGGTGGAGGCTCAAGTTGGTCTAAAAGCATCCTTGAGTTGGTAGTGCTGACTACGAATCCATGGTAGAGATGTCATAGGTTCGTATCCTGGTGCTGCCATTAATTTTTATCTGTACTGTTCACTCTAGTACTGTATCTACTTACCTTTTGCTAGACTTGATACGTTCTAAGCACAGGTTTGGAGCTCATGTGATAGGTTAAATGCTAGGTAAACTGATAACCACAACAGTGTTGCCACTTTTAGGGATTTGTACCGAATCTAGAGACATTTTCAACCTGAAGGGACATTCTAGGGACCAAATAGTTTTTGGGGATTTCTAGGGACAAAAGGTTTTTGAATATTTTTTGGAAGAAATGCAGATATATCTTTGAAAAAAACATTTCTCAGACAGTATAAAGGTATACAAAATGTTTGTAATAAGACAAAAAAATATTAAATAAGGACACATTTATTTGTATTTCAAACTATAGTGAAACTTTGATATCCGACTCAATCGTTTCAACCACAAAATGTACCGAATGATTATATCGATACTCGATAGCAAAACGAAACCTAATTCCTAACCTAATACCTAAAGAAACAACACTTAATTTATCGTGCATTATAAAAACCTTTTATTGATGTAGCTTGATTGCAAGTGTCCTTTTGATTACATTCCTCTACTATTTACTGGCATAATCTATTGCATTTTATGTATTGATCAAATAAATTGATCTATCTAACTTAACAAATTAACCAAAACCCAAACTTCTATATCCATCGATTGCATTAATCGATAATTACGATGGAGTTGGATTGATGGATATCAAAGTTGTGCACAAGATTATCTGGATTGTTTAGATGACTGTTTAGCTGAAAATGCTGATTGTTTAGCAAATATATATTTGCTGACTTGTTTAGCAAATATATATTGTTTTTTCAGAAAATATTTTGAACTTTGATATTCAACTCCATTGCATTATCGATTGAGTTTGGGCTTTGGTTAGTTAATGTTTGGTTATTGGTTGAATCGATACTTTTATTGTTCGATAATCCGGTGGGGTCAGTTATATCAAAGTAAAGGTTTTCTAAAACATTTGAAAACTATAGTGCGATGACAACATATGCTAAAAACGTGCTTTTACTTACTTTATTGCCATAATTTTAAGACTAGGGACATAGTTAGGGACATTTTAGGACATCTAGGGATTTCTAGCGACAAACTTTCCTTGATCTAGGGACTTTTCACTCAGAGTTGGTGGCAACACTGAACCTCAACCCCTAAAAGGTTCACAATAAATTGATAAACGAAGCAGCATTATGCAAATGTCTGTACATAAATAATTTATGTAACTTGAATTATCAATCTATTACGCCTTATTTTGTGGAAGTGGCAACAATTCATAGTGCCATGAGCAACTGAGATGTACCGTATAATGGAAGACTTTAAGAAAGAAATTAAAATCTGAATAGCAAAAAGGAATTGTAAATGGGGCTCAACCACAAAGGGTCTACATTTACCTGAAAAGTGTAACCAACTGTTTTCAGTAGCACAGAAAACGTACTAGTAGGCCTAAGTAGTGTACTTCTTAAATAAGTTTACAAAATATTTAATGTAATAATAAAGTTTAATTGACACAACTAATAAAAACACTTATTTTTTAACATGTCTTATCGTTTCCGTTTTCCCTTATTAATCTTCTTCTTAATCTTCAAAAGTAATTTAATTGTGGGTATTAATTAATGTTGTTGTACTGTATTACCATTTCCTTAGGTCAGGTATCGTTTGTTATGAAATCATTTTGGCATTACCCTGAAAAAAGATAAATTGTAATTAATTAGAAACACTTAGTTGGTTAATGCAGTTTTCAAAATGTGGGTTTCTCGAGCAAAATCATCAATATTTTATGGCATTTAGTACGAACATAAATCTGTGTTTACTCAGCTGAGTTTGCGAACTAGTATGCTCGAACTATATGGGAATAGAGTTTTAAGGGGTAAAAATTGGGGTTTCGCATTCTTAATCCTCGAAACATGAATTTGGCAATTTCTTTCTAAACCATGTTGTATTACGGTATTACTAAAACGCGAGAGGAATACTCATGCCAGGTTTTAACTCACAATTCAAAAAGGAATACTGGTCACCACATCATAATGATTTTTTGAAAACATCTCAAATTGAAACAGAGCTGCATACATGTGCAGCTAATCGACCACACAACAGCAGGAGGATAATACGAAGTAAAACCAACAATTCC